AAGCAGTCTGAAATGCACTGTACCTTTTCTGCTGAAGTAAGTAGATTTCGTCCAGATGTTTATCCCAGGATTTTTTGCCTTGCAACTTCTGACTTAGTCCATTCCACATCCGGAAATAGAAGGGCTTGCTATCCCCAAATAAAGGTACCCCCATATCACGTCCCTTTTTTTCTCTTGCCCAGCTGCCTGAAAGCCAGCAATCCCCACTTCGAAAAAGTCAGGGAAGGCTCACTACAGGTCACCACTCCTCCACCCCAGTCTGTTACTTACAGAGGAGACTCTCAGTCAGCTGCATCAGCTGATAAAAGTACGTGTAAAAACACAAAATAAAATCACTTGTCCCTAGCAGATCATACCTTGCGCCTCATCAAGTACTTAGTTTCCAAAACAGCCCAACCCAAAGGTGTGTCTGATTTAGAAGTAGCTTGTCAGTAGCCTCACAAAGACCCTATAGCAGCACTGAAGAATTCATACAGCATCAATGTCCTAGGCTTCTGGTATTTAGTTTCTGAAGTCTAGAATTTAGAAGTAATCATCCTCCTTACGTATCTCTGAATTCCTCTGGAAAGCAACATCTAAACAATTTTGAAATAGACAGCCAAACAAGTCAGGCAAAACACCTTTTAGTTGAGTGAACATGTGGGAACCTGCCCTAAAAGACACTCTGCTCTGTGAAGTTAGTGTAGAGGAGGACACACCTCCCACCCCAACTGTCTGCAAATCCCATTACAGAAATTATCATTACAGACTCCACCTTCTCTGTGCCAAACAAAATCACTTTACTTCACAAGTTGGAAGAAGAGTTTATGTAGATTACCATGTAAAGTTTGCATATTTAATTTTCCTATAGCGTTCTACAATCTCTTTTTGTTTCTTCACATTTTGTCACATTTCTTCCACAAAAAGGTTATTTAAGAAAGGAATGAAAAATTTTCTTTAACAAAAACTAGGTTTTGGTGTAGAAAAACATCATCAAAGTCATGGGAGGTGTCTGCAAAGAAGTAAACAAAATACCAGAATGAAGAAAGGAAGCATCCTTCTCCTTGTGAAGAAGCTGGAAGATATGTGGGAGAAAAAAAAAAAAAAAAAAAAAAAAAAAAAAAAAAGAAAAGAAAAGAAAAGAAAAGAAAAGAAAAGCTCCTAGTTTCTAATCTTTTTCCCCTAAAGACTTGTCCTAATATTCTTGCATCTTGAATCAATAGAAATGTCCCTTCATTCTTACTCCTGCTGTAGTGGAAAAGGATTCTGTTCAGGGTGCCTGGACGGAGGTAGGATCAGTGGGTAAGGAAGAAATATGTGTAAAGCAATAGGGCTGAGTCATCTCTTTGAAACTCCTCGTTTATTTAGAAATCACTTAGATTTACCAAAGCAGGATTCACATCCAAACTTCTGTAAACTCATGGTGTACCCTATCCTATAAAAACGTAAACTGACACACAGAAAAAACAATGCTTTAAGGCAAACTTGAAGAATCATATCCTAAAATGTAAGACTCATTGAATTGTCCAGTTTTAGGAGGAAGTGTCAGGTTAAACTGTCATAATGGAAAAAAATTATTACTCACTACATGGAGAGGTTAGAGCGCAACACCAGCCACATGTTATGAGCAAAATGTGAGGGTTTTTTAACAGTATCAATAATGTATCCCCAGGGATAATGCTTCCGGCGGGAAGCAACTCCACTCAAAGTTGAGAAAGATATTTAGAGACTGAAATGTTAAGTGCCTATGATAGACAAACACAATCTTTATTTTCCTGGGCTGTTCTTGCAAGCAGAGAATACTTTATACTGTCTCTCCAAGGAGTAAAAGCCCTAGGCAACAGGTATCAGCAGGACAAGCAAGCAGTGACACATTTCTCCCTCTTCTGGGCAGCAGTGCTACTGCCACCCAGACAGCAGCTCTAAGGTACAAGAAGTGAATAACAGCCAGCAGGCCGAGGAGAGAGTTCAAGGGAACAGGGCCAGCAGCCAGGGCAGTTCAAACAACTGCAAACCAGTACCTCAGGTGGACTCCCCACATAGTCATGGTGGGCTCATTAGAGCTCTCATTATAGCTTCAGACTGCAGTAAATCTGACTCAATAGTTTTCCTTTAGCCACTTGTATGGATATGAAGTCTTATTACTGCAAAAGAGTGCCATTTTCAAGGGTAATAGAATACAGAGATGAAAGATGGATGAAATATGTAAGAATACTGCATGGTTCAAAGTCTCTTTAGCAGATCATGGCCATACTCTTAAGCACTGCTGGACTTTCAGTCTAGCAGGAGACTGTAAAGAGTTTTAAAAAACTAAGGATCAGATAAGGCCTAGTAGTTGAGGGATGGATTTTAAGTCTGTATATTTTTGATGCATGTGGTTTCCCACATACTTGATATCTGCTTTTAACTCTTTGTAACCCTTTCCATGGCTCCTGAGTCATATTGTGACTCTGGCTCCTAGCCCCCATTCTCAAGGCCTACCTTTAGCTGCTGACATTATTCTAGCTCTACTTGTTCCTTGTTCCAAGCTCCTACTGCAAATAAGGTCTTTATCCTGGTGCCGGTGATGCCGTTTCCTGGTGTGTATTTTGACTTCTCTTGCTTGTGACTTGGGCTGATTCTGACTGACTTGATTCCAGGAATATCTTGATTCCAGCTTGAACCTACCTAACAAATAAGACAGCTGATGTCAAAATCTCTTTACACACCATTTCCCTTCTATGTCCATAGGCCATGAATAGCAATGTAAGCATGAAGAAATACAAAGCACAACGTGGCCAAATGTGTTCCTCACACCCCAGTATCTAACAACACAAAATTAGGAGCAGACTAGCAATGACAGGATGATGTCGGCTCCATGCAGTTCTGTCACTATTCTAGGGGTCTATCAATATTACATATGGTACAGTTAGGATGTCCTGCCCTTTGTAGAGCTATATAAACTGTGTAAGTAAGCCAATATGTGGAAATACTTCAGCAACAACCAAGGAATTCCTATTTTCACATACCTGTTACAAATACAAGCGCACAAGAATGCCAATTCTGTCACTGGAGATTGTGATCTTGCCAGAGACACTACTCTACACATTTTTATAGTGCATTGCCTTTCTTTTAGGTCAGCCTAGATTAAAGAAAAAAAAATAGCATAAATCTGAATATTTGAGTATGAATGAACTGACTTTTGGTGACCCTGGAGCTTAAGTTAGCCTTTTCCAGCTACATGCCTGAAAAGGAAAAATTATTACAAAAAAAGACTACAGGAAAATTTTCTACATAGCTTCCAGATTCCTCTTCAGTTTCTTCTTTCTTTCAAACATAAATGAAAACGGCTATTACTTGGCCTACCATAAAAGCAATTTCAGTGCTAATGTAGAGACAGACATAATTTGCACAGTACATGGCACAGATTCCTTTCCTTCTGAATGGCCCTGACCCTTACATTCCATGTTCTCACATAACCCCTGTTAACCTTCCTGGAAATTTTGAGTGCTGAAGGTATGTAGGATTGAATCCAATGTGCTTAACTTGTCACAAATCAAGATGGGAGTGCATTTCTCCTTTTTTTCTTTTTCTGTTTTTCTCTTGCAGTTTCTTTAGAGGGGCAAAAATTGTAAGAGCTGGGTGATATTTTAAAGTTACTACAAAGACAGAAGTGTGATCTTAGTCTTTCACAAAATCCATGAGAATGTGAACTGTGATTAGCAGGAAACTAAGAAGATAAAAGGCATTGTAAAAGTAAGGAAGCCTGTCGAACCTAAAGGAGAAACAATATTAGCTGCACATGGTTGAAGTCACCCTTTTTATCTTCTGAAAAGATTTTAAAGGTTTCTGTTAAGCATAGAAGAGTATGTAATGAATGGTATCAGAAAAACTTACACAAAGTGGCTTTTGAAGAGAAAGGAAAGAAAGTGAAGTCAACTTATTACGATGAACTGAAATTCTCTTCTACATTCACCTTCCAGATTTGTCCCCCAAATCCATGTTAAGCATCTGGTACACAAATGAAGTAGCATAACTAGATGCTTAACACATCTTCAGAACATTGTACAGCCATTGAGTAGCCAAGTTGTCTTGGCTAGCCTATAGCCAACCCAAGCTGTCTATGTCAGAGACATGTATTGCCCCAACCCTTCCGTTTGGACAAATTTCAGCACAAAGATTTGCCTATTTTGCTGTCTTAGGAACAGCATCAGAGCCACGGGCTGCCAGGCCATTTCAGAAGCTCTTATTCTTCCACTGCATATTTCTCCCTGTCTTGTTCCATATTTTTTTCTGAATCACATATATGTTCAAATCTTAAAAATAAGATTACATTTTCTACCTTTTGCTCCAATTCACAAAAATATTTCACCTTAATTCTCATAAAAATTTGCTCTTAAAAAATTCCCACTTCAGAAATTACAAGAGAAATTCTGTCATTTCAGCAACAGCAAAAACAAAGCTCATGGATTCCATACCAAAGTTTAGGCTACCGCCTTAAGAGCAAGAGTGGAAGTGCAGCCTACAACCAGACTTCAGTCTTTCAACATCGTCCCTGTACATTTCTGGTTGTATTGCAATTCTTTGTCTAAAATCGCAGCATCTGATAAAAGCTCTAAACATGTGAGTTGTGAGAGAAAAGAATGACAGAAGCAGAAGTACAGGAAAAAGCAATGAAAAATAAAACAGTTTCTGAGTACAGACAGAACAGGAAGTCAAGAACTCACCAAGTCAGCAGTAGGTAGTGATGTAATTTCTCCATGTGTATAATGGATAATCTTCATCAGAGAAGGTTGTAATAATGACTAGCCAACAACTGCTTGATGTATTACAGATATGTTACGGAATCCTGTTGGACTGTGATATTTCCAGTCATTCAAGTTATAGTATCTTAGTTGTGTAGCATAGGAAAACAAAGTTGTGGATGATTGTATGCAAATGCACAGCACTACGTACAGTTTGATATCACACAACTGAGTGGTGATATATATCAAAAAAATAAAATGAAGTCTCAGAGAAAAATAACTAGATATTCTGGAAGAAGCATACTAGTAGTGTTATATCCACAGGTCTTAAGAAACTCTTATCTTCACAAGATGCAGAGGAGGGGCCATGAAGATGATCAGAGGGCTGGAGCACCTTTCCCATGAAGACAGAGAGTTGGGGTTGTTCTGCCTGGAGAAGAGAAGGCCCTGGGGAGACCTTATAGCAGCCTTCCAGTACCCAGAGGGGGCCTGTACAAGAAAGCTGGAGAGGCACTTTTTACAAGGGCATGTAGTGTTAGGACAAGGGGTAATGGCTTTAAACTGAATGAGCATAGATTTAGATTAGACACAAGGAAGAAATTCTTCACTATGAGGATGGTGAGGCACTGGAACAGGTTGCCAGAGAAGCTGTGGATGCCCCATCCCTGGAAGTGTTCAAGGCCAGGTTGGATGGGGTTTTGAGCTGCCTGGTCTGGTGGAAGGTGTCCCTGCCCATGGCAAGGGGGTTGGAACTAGGTGATCTTTAAAGTCTCTTCCAACCCAAACCATTTTATGATTCTACAATCTTGTTTACTGTGTAAATAGGAATTACTGAACCACCAGTAAGTCACAGATAATTCAGAAGTAACTTAACAATGCATTAAAAACTATACCAGGGCATACATGTCCTTTAAGGATCTACTATATATTATGCAACTAATCCTGATACATAATTCTGTGAATCCATCTCCTGGCTTGAAGGAATGCAAAAGGCTAGAGGCAAGCTTGTTCAAAATAAAACATTAATCTGAATTATCTTAATTGATAGTGCGTGTTTGTTGTGTGTGAACATGTGTGTGTAGTAAGACAGGTTAAGAAGAGACTTAAAGTGGAGTGGGTAGCAGAAGCAAGGACAACTACATGTGGTGGAGAATGACAGCAGAGGCACAGACTCCTTTTAAAGATGCATTCCCAAGGTCCTGGTGAGATGGATGAGGGATCAGCTATAGTTTCATTGGCCATTTCAGAAAATCCTGGTGCAGCGTCACAAAGATCACTGGACTTCATAAAACTGACCCCACCAACATTTGCAGCAGACTTTGTAGCATTTCCAGGAAAAGCCAAAGGAGAGAACAGCAAGAACTGAAGGTTTCTGGTGAGTGCAGCTATACTGACAACTTAAAGGAGAGCTCTTAGTGAAACAGGATCAACAAGAAACTTCCTAATTCATAAGCAACCTTGAATACATCGGTCAGTAGGATTCTGCTTCACTGGAGAAGCCTGGCCAAATATCCTGGATGTTTTCCTACTGTTGTGATTTGAGCTGTTAGCTTAAGTCAGAAAGCTTTCTGTTGGTGAGTTGGGAAGCTTACCGTTGGTTTAGGTAAGAAAACAATCCCCCAGCCTCCTGTCAAGAGAGAGTGTCTCAGGGACTTATGTACTCAATAAAAGCAGAAGCATATTCCTTTGGAAAAGGTGGAATGAGCTAACATGAAACATATATTCTAGTCCTGCACACAGGATAGTGGGTCCTAGCATAAAAATAGGTAACACAGAAAAAGTAGAAAAGGGCTTGGAACCTCACCTGGACTGTAGACTAACATAAAAACTGTGACAGTAGTATTTGAAGCTATAAGATATTGAAATTAAGCCATGAGAACTTTCTAATTTGGATTTCCTCAAAGGAGGTCTGGTATTTTAAGATAGCCCAAGGGTGTTACCAGGAATCTCTAAACTAGCCTGTAACACAGTGGGAGAAAGTATTATCAAAAAAGAGCACCTCACTAATTAGTTTTACCTTGTGGTCAGGAGTGTCAGGAGTTCCATAAGAATACCTAAGTCTTTAATTCAGTAACTGTAAAGTTCTGTGTGAGAGTCTTTGAATTGGTAGCCCCTGCTTTTTTAGTAGAAGTTCTCCTTGCTCCTAAAGATACACAAAAGGGTGAAAGTATGTATCTGGGATACATCCATGGCAATGTTAAACCCCCAAACTGTGACTAGCAACATTTTTTCAGTTTGGAAAAAGGAAGACAGCTGCTTACTGTTCATGCCTTACACTCTTGAACTAAGGCTGGGTGCAAGTACACTGGCTCCCAACTTCATAGCTGGCATCAGGCTTTAAAGATTCTCAGAAACCTCTGAAAAAGGAATCCATCCTGATTTGACTTTGAGTTTTTTGAGTCTTAGCCTGTATTAATTGTGCTACTATGTCAGGGTAACAGACAGGAAATGAAACTTGGATTGTGACTGGTTTATTTGTGTGACAACAGGTGACACCACTTAGTACTTGGAACACACAGCCCTCAGTTATGCTGTTGTCTAAAGCATCATTAGGGAGGTCCTGAATATATATTTTGGTGGAAGAGGGAGAATTTTGAAGGTAACTGCTGATGATAAGGGTTTACCTTTGGCCCTAGCTAACATGGGAAATCTGGGCTCTGTTAAATGTTCATCTTTAAGAACATTGCTTGCTATGGCTTGGTAGAGCCATTCAACTATACATCACAGATTACAGGGCATGCTACAAACATCTGTAACCTGTGAAATCCCAGAGCAGAGTCAAAATATTTTACTTCTTTTTATTCCCCTCTCCCACCTTGGTCAGGTTCCTGAGTGTACTAAAATGTTTTAATGGCCCTGACCAGCTTTACCTGGGGTCTCCACCCACACACTCACCACTTCAAAGCCTGTCAAGCCTCCCAGGTTTCCTACGGGTAATTTGGAGCCTTTCCCCTTCCCTGCCCTTCTCTGCACCTACCCCACTGGACTCCCCCCCGCCCAAGCTTGTCAGGGATAGCATGAATTTCTGCCCCCCTTATCCCCCCTTGCCTCTCAAGCCCACCTTGCCTTTAGGGATCTCATAGGCAGCCTGAGCTCTGCTACCCAGCTCCAAGTCTCCCATGCCTTCTCTCCTTCCTCCTTATCTCCGTGTCCCCTGAAATATGAAAATCCACAACAATTAAATCACTCTACAAACAGTCCTTTCTGACCACAGATCCCTGTAAGGTATCAGGACACGTGTTTCTGGGAGGGCACACTATTGTTAGATTCATAATTGCTTTGGTGGCCCTGACCAGTCTAACCCAGGGCCTTCACAAACACGCACATATGCCCTGCCCATGATCTGTCTTGGACCTTCAGTTTCTACCTGAGCTATTTTGTAGGAGCATAAACTTTTAGCTCAGCTACAGTTATGCTTGTGTTTGGCCATGGGCTCCAATGATCTGGACTCTGACCTGCTGACTGACGTCTAGCTTGACTTCAACAGCAAAGTGGACCTTGGTTACCATCACTGAACATCGTTCTGATCAATGGATTAACTTCCTAGCTTGATCTGAGACCTGCCTCATCACCACAAAAATTGCCTGACAGTCTAGGCTTTTTCTTGAACATGGCTACTGTTTCCCTGTCTTCCTACTCACCTTGCTTGAGTAGTGTGGGGCTGTACACTAGCTGATGAGACCCCTGCATTGTCTGGTGTGAAGTCATGCTCAGCTTCCTATCCCTTTTGGTGCAGCCAGCCTTTGCTGCTTCCTAACATTTCTCTCACCATTTAAGAGATCCTATAAATACCTCTGCACTTCTTACTCTTCAAATTACAGAACTGAAGATTGTCTTGACCTGTTCTGAAAGTTTTGGCAGTAGCAAGAGACCATGGGAAGAGTTCAGATCTGACTTTTTTCTGCAGAATTAACTTTGCCAACCCACTGTTCCTAGACATAGTATTAAAGTAGAAACAAATATCTCTGCTTACCTGAACTTGTTGCTTTACACAACAGCAAAGAAATAACCACTGAAGAATAGTAGAGTCCACTTATAGTATCAGAAGAGCTACTTACAGAATTTTCCTGATAGAGAAGTGACAAAAGTGGTTTCTTGCATTAACTATTGGAAGGCCTTTGGTTAGGCGAGTAATATCAGACCTGGATCCCAAGCAGAGAGATTTTAAAAAGGTGCCCTCTGAAAATGGGCAGAGAAGCTAGAAATGTTCCTCTCAAGCAGGTTATCCCAAAGAAGGATATTCATCAAAGGACTTGCTCATAGTCAGAGGAGGTATTTGTCTATTAATCATCTTTGGTTAGCTAACTCAGGGAAGGTTCAGGTTACTGTGTTACTGTGTGAGAAAAGGATTACTCTTTCTGTGGACGTATGGTATTACAATAGTTAATAAAGATACTCAAAGGCTGTAGCACTCCTTGTCCTGAGCTTCTAGGAAAAGGACTGTTATACACCTCATGGAAAATTTTATGGTAGAAACTGAAAAGTGCTGTACACAAATTGGAACTGATACAGGGAGAAGGCAGTGAACTAAACTTTAATGAGATTTTAACAGCACTGAGAAAGGAAATGGCAAACTCCTGTAAAATGGAACTGGTTGCTTTCTATTTAATGCCTTTATTAAAGTAGCTACTAAAACTGAAATAATTTATTTGTAAATTTAGTTACTTATTGGCAATTAGTTATTTTCCACTTTATTTCTGCTGGAAAAGTTGGTGGTTGAGATTTTTTTGTTGTTTGGATTTTTGTTTTTCCTCAGATTCTTTTGTTTTCACCCTGTTTAATAATGCAGAATTCTTCTTTTTTGTGCCTGCCATAACACTGTGCTGGATCAGAGCATTTAATTTCATGATAATTCTTTTACACTTTTTGTAACATGTTGAGGTTTTCTTCACATTCGTGTTATCCAGTTAGACTTTGTCAGCTAATGAATTTTGAGCCTGATATGCCATGACACCCAAAGAGCTACAAGAGCTGTATTTGCATTGGTGATTTGTCCCCCCCCATCCCCACCAAGAAGTTAAGAGAAGTTTTACTCCATAGCAGAAACAGTTTTGTCATTACAACTACATAATTAAGAACATGACGAATGATTAAAATTAAACATTACCCTCTCTTCCCCCTGAGAATGTTGAATATACCAGAAAGCTGTTTCCTAAAACAGACCTTCACTTATTAAAAACTTGAGTACAGAACAAAAGTTACTCTAAGAAGTCAGATCTTCAGGCACTTGTACATACCCTGGGCACTGCCTGGGCTGAGCCAAAGTGATGAACCTGTTGCCTCTGGGTCTTTCTTCTTTTTCTTTTTCTTCTTCTTCTTCTTTTTTTTTTTCCCCAGGAACAGTTGGGTTTTTCTATTATGAAGGGTCTCCTGAAGCATATGAAGCATATGTTTGCAGCAACGGCTAATTAGGTTCTTAAAGGGAAAGAAGTTCCATTGGCTTACATAACTCTGAATAGATGAGACATTTAGAAAGCAAACTATTAGAGCAAGCGTTCTATCTTTCTGAGGGTTTCTCAGAATAGAATTTCAAATAAAAAGTTACCTTTCCTTTTGCAAGTATGATTCATGACCTTTTCCAGGCAGAGGCTCATTTATAGCCTTCCTGAAGTCTCTTACTGTCAGTGGCCACAGACCAAACAATTAAATATGTTTAAATCTTCCTTAAACTACATCTTAACTGAGGATTTCTTTCTTTTGTTGTTTAGATGATCCAAAATTACACTTTTTCCTTGGGTGAGGAACAAAAAAAATCACTCCTGCTGCTGAAGAGAGTATGGGTAATGTGACACAAAGATCGCAACTTAACAAAGCACCACAAATTTGATATCATAAAATGGCATTAAGAGATGACTCAGTAGTAACCTTACTTCAGTCCTTATGTCCCAATATGGAGGTGTGGTCCCTGTGCATCCACTATCAATAAACACAAGCTCAAGGCTCAATGTAATGCCCAACAGTTGAATAACAAACATAAACGCCTATTTTATTTTAGTTATTCCCGACTGTCTCCATCGTGGGTATCCTGTTTTTTAACCTACTTATTTATCTGTGAAACACAACAAGAGCTGGTGTAGGGGTGTGATGTACCCTTTGGCATTCC